GGAAGATCAACACTGTAATACATTCATGATTCTGTCACAGTAATGGCATTTCCTGAATGTTATACAAATTTCTCTAGCCTGTGCAGTGATACATGGAAGCTTTGGCGTTAAGTTCTGCCAGGAAGACTCAATCGTTGCGTCACTAATTACCTTCTCATCTATCCATTTGTGTCTAATACTTGCGGTATAAAAGACCGGTACTTCCACGTATTTGAGTTCGCAGATGCTGACGCTTTCATTGACTTTCATCCTCCCCACCACCTCCAAGATGGTTCCTTCCCTTCCATCCTCCCCACCACCACCAGGATGGTCCCTTCCTATACCTCCCAGGGGGTCAGCTAAAATAAAAATTATTTACTATATATTACACACAGGTACAGGCAGGCAGGCAAGCAGAATGGGCGCGCGCACACACACACGTTCTAAATACAACTATGAACAAAGCAGAACCGATCAGGACTGAATGACAAGAGGGAAACTAAATGCAGATACCAATGAACACTAACAAGGTGAGGACAGGACTGCAGCATTCAGCCCCTTAAACAGAAACAGTGATGCGTTGAACCCAGCTCACAGAATTTTGTCATAAGAATGTTCTCCAAATATTCAGTGTTGGTTCTGGGAACGTGAAAAATGCCGAGTTTTCTTGACGTAAAAGTTAGGAGTTAAGACCACAGTTTGAGCCAGCAGCTTGAATTGATATCGCCCTGTGTCCACAGACAATTCACTCTCCTCCACTTCAGGTGAAGGTGGGGGATAATGACTGCTCTGTTGCAAAGCTACTTGCGTCACTCCAGTCACTCTCCATTTTAGAGTCTGACAGCAGCTGTCACTGCGGCTCTCAGGTGCGAGTGTATATGAGTCCACACTCAAGAGTGTTAAAGTTAATGAGATAATTAAGTGATTAATTGAGTGATTATTGAGCATTATAGAAGACAATTAAAGCAGAGTCACTGAAGGAGAAAATCTAAAATTGTAAGTCACCGTTATGGTGATCTTTGTTTGCTTTAGTTGGGCTCTTGACCCT